TTTGTCAGAGGGTTTTTGGTTCCCGTTGTATTTATAGTTTGTATATCTTATGTGGTTTGATATACTTAGTTCACTATAAACAATGCTCTGATACCAATCTATCACACCCCCAAACCAGAATGGCGGAAACATTCGGGGGTGGATGACTTCACGTAGTATCGCAACAATTGAATATTGTAAAGAAAGTAATACAATCAACATATATATAAAATGAAAACATATATTGTTGCGTTATACATGTTATCAAAAGAATATTACAATATGATGTTAAATGTTCAATAATAACAACATCTTTAGTGTTCCTTCTCCCAAAAGCTGGTAGTTACTTGTATCACTGATTCCCTGAGAAATACAAGTGGTTTTGAAAAGTGTCAACAATTAAGTTGGTGAGTTCATGAGTGTTTCGAGTTGAAAAGTATATCCTTTTTGGTAGTAAATTGGTAAACGAGGTTTTTAGAAAATCCAATATTTTCTTGTAAGTGTTTCAAAAAGTTTCCAAAGTTGGAATGTGTTGGTATCTTTTATACTTGAATGATTAAAACAACTTTGTATGAAAACTAATGTAGAAAGCTGCAATGCACATATGAATCTCGTAAATCAATCCTGTTTTATACTTTTTATGTGAGTTTTATAACCATGCTATTGACACTGACGGCCTGTAACAACATTCTTAAGGTGTTGCAGTGTTATGACATTTGTCACCCCAGACTTTGCCGGTCTAACTATAGCTAGTAGTTTAGGTGCGGGATTGTCAATCCCGTATAGATCTATACACAAGTATCACGCTCTCCCTCCAAGAGATTATGGTATATAATACAGGACTTGAAATGCATACAATAATGTACGTTGAAGTTTGAATATCTCACATTTCCTAGTATAAGTAGATTTACAATGAAATGACCTTACTTCTTTTGAAAGTGTTTCGTTTTTCAAGATGTATATATAAAATGTAGGACTGAATTGTTAACTATATCCATTATAGTTTTTCAGATAGTATGTTCCATTTAGTAGAAATAACTTAGTGACATAATAGCTCTTGTATACATAAGTTGTTTGTATCGATATTCGAAGATAGAAATTTCATTTATGATTACAAAACGATACTTTAACGTGTAATGTACTTGTATTTCCCCCCTAAAACATGAAAAAGAATTGAAAAGTAGGGGTATGAACTCACTCGTTAGGTTTGAAGAGAGAGGCTAGAGTTGAGTAGAACTTCGACCGCGGATGGTTGCGTTGTCGGGCTCTTCGGGGATCTCTGCAGCGTAAATCTTTCGCCGGGGGCTTGAGTGCGGAAACCGAGGTGAGGGGAGGGTCTCTGGAGCTTAGAAGTATGAGAGAATGATTGAGGACTTGTGAATGGTGTGCAAAAACTCGAGCTTATGCCTTCTATTTATAGGGCTGGAAACCCTCGTACGCAGCGCGTACCTACAACGTATGCTGGGCGTACGCAGTACGCGGGGAGTACCTCGGTTACGCGGGGCATAACAATGCGTCATGGCTTACGACTCCTGGCTAGCTAAGCGTAGAGTGGGCGGGCCGATGGGACTCGACTTTGGGTCTAGTACGCGGGGCGTAATATGGCATGTCCCCTTCTAAATTCCGTAACTTTCGCGTACGAGCTCCGTTTTTCGTGTTCTTTATATCCACGCGTAGGTGAGATTATGCTCTACAACTTTCCTTTAGACTCCGTTGGCTAGTTTTGACTTTATTTTAATGACATACTTTTAAATAGGCCGGGCCTCCTAAAGTTCGTTAAAGATTTATAGGTTCTTTATTCGGCGTCGGTTTCCGTTTGTCTTTTTATCAATTTGCTCCTATTGTGGAGATCTTCAACTCTCATTTAGATTGCGTTAGCTAATTAACACTCGATGTTCAATTCGAGTTTTTAGCCCTCTACTATTGTTACGAAACTTTGAAAATTCGTAACTTCTTCATACGAGGTCCAATTTGGGCGATCTTTTTATGCACGCTCACCATTCGACGAGATCTACGATTTTTGTTTAGATACTTAAGGCTAAAATGCATATTATTGAGATTTTTCTTTTTACGTCAAATAATGTTTTAACGGCGTGTCGTAAATATACAAGTGGTTGTAATTTCTTCAACATAACCCGGTTTTGAGCGTTCTTTATGTTTTCGGAAACCTTGACACGTTATCTAATATTTGATACATCCCAACTTAGATATTTGAATACTTTATTTTCAAGGTTTATTTAGTTGTTTGACTTGTGAGCGTTACAATGTTTTTGGAAAATATAGGGTTGTTACACTGACCCACTCGGTTTATTTATATCACAGGTGTTGATATGAAGTCACATTACACTGAGAGATTAAGGAGATATAAATCACTAGTGATAATGAATGTAAGTTCTGTTTATGTTTATGTTTCTGTATTGACGATGACATCGCAAATGTTTTAAAATGAATAAAAATATTTTTCTTCAGAAATGCTTTGATAACGTATTTATCATGTTTTACTGGGAACAAATTACGTAACATTTTTATTAAAAGAGGTACTCTGATTTTTATAAAGCATAAATAAAATCGGTGTTTTCTGACTATGAAAATAAGGATGTCACATTGTGATTGGGTTGAAACACACCCTAGGGCAGGGCCCAATATGGCATGTCGGGTTAAAAAATTCCCCAGGGTGGGGCCCACTATGATATGTTCAGGTTGAAATATACCACAGGGAGAGGCCCCACAGCGGGGCCCATACTTGCTTTTTAGGTTGGAATAAACCCCATGGTTGGGCCTATTTATATGATTGGTATGTGGTATTTTGGGAAAACTCACTAAGCGTTAGCTTACAGTTTGTATTGTGATTTCAGGTACTTTCGGTTTTAAGGGGAATGGTCCGACTTAATGGCACAACATTCATTCTCCACCATTTTCCGCATTCACTGTTATTGTCAATCTGATAATTTTATATGATGATATTTATTTATTGGATTTTAGAATCAAACTTATGATTGTAAACATTAATTAAAAATGAAAATGCTTCTCCTATTTTGTTTATGCTCTCTGCTTTCCTTTTCTTTTTGAATATTTTTATGAAATTTAGGGACTTTGTTTCTACACGGAAGATATGAAGTCCTTGTTAATAGAGAGAATTTTGTTGAAGTCTCTAAACTAAGAAATGTGGAGTTTGATATGAGTTGATTATTTGATAAAGATCTTGAAGCAACCCTAGACTTATTTGTCAACCTATTTTGTCACATATGTCTTGTAAGCATTGCTATTTTTCATGTTTTCTTCTCAAATTTAGTGATCAATGTGGTACTCATGTAATTGGCGCTATACATGATTTAGTGATATGGAAATCAACTATATCATCACAAATAAATACCATCAATCCTAAACAGACTAATTCATTACCTTTTTTTCTTCTTTCATATGGCCCGACTTCATATTTACAGTAATACTAAAATTATCATCTCTTAGATTTGGTTAATAATAATAATAATAATAATAATAATAATAATAATAATAATGCACATCTCCACTCTATTTCCATCCACTTATGCATAGATCTCAAGAAACCGCCTCACCTAAAAAAATACATCATCATCAAAGGGTAAAAAGGTAAATTTACACAAACATACAAGAAAATAAAAGTAGAATGCTATAAGGAATGAAGTAAGTTTACCATGCATTCTCTTAACAAATGCTATTATTATACAAACAATAAACTTAAAATAAATAAGTTGGAATTTGAATCAAATTTCTAAATATATAACTTTCTTATTGGTTTATTCAATATTTAACTACTGCAAATCAATTGTTTTTGAATAAAATTTCTAAATAAATAAGTTTTTTTTACTTTTTCAATTTCATTTTTAATCTTATTCGATTTGTCAATATTAGGTTCGATCTAATGTTTTATCTAAGATCCGATGACATGAAGATGCATTGAGAAATAGAAATTATTGAGAGGACATGATGCATTAAAAAAAATACAAATTATTGGTATGGACAAAGTATTCCAAGGTATTTAATTGAGGTATATAATTTTAAGTCCTATATCTTTTATTTCAAGCTTTTTGATTAATTCTCTTATCTATTTTGAGATTCAACATAATGATGATTTATTTTAGTTTTTTTAGAGTACATAAATGTCAGAGTTAGATAATTATGATTTTAACCATATTTTTAGAATTATGGTGCACTGATTAGTGTATGCATTTGTTGACTCTATAGCTTCCTAATTTAGCTATGTTTAAAATAATCAACATTATCATTTTTATTAATATATGCATTTGTTGTATGTATTCAGTGATTGACATTATGGATTATTGTTATTTTGTGTTTGTGATCATTTTAGTTCGTTATATTATATTTATCTTTTGTGGTGATGTGTTCCGGTTAGCTTATATTCATGAAAAATAACAATAAATAACGAAAACAAAAAAAATAAGTTAGTGCTTTCTATATTTTAACAAGACATGGGTTGTAAGGATTACTCATCATGTTACGGCTTCAACCATTTAATTTCTCTAGTAGTGCATAACATCAAAATGAACAAAAGAATGAAATTAATATGCATTTAGGTGATTAGCTCTTCAATCACTAAAAAAAGTTTATTAATGGCAAAAAAATGAGCAATTAATGGAATAAACTTAAAATGTTGTTGATTTAATTAAAAGTGGATACATTGTGTAAAAATAAAAGTTCATAGTTTTCTAAATGTTCATTGTGTAAAAAAAAACTAATCGATCGTAGAAACTAATTTCTGAAAAAACAATTCTCACCTATCGCTTAGTGCGGATAAACGGCTAATATATATATATATATATATATATATATATATATATATATATATATATATATATATATATATATATATATATATATATATATATATATATATATATATATATATATTGAAAAAAATTTAGGTTAAAGGCACCAAGTTTATGCAAGCATTTAAAATTAAAACCTCTAATTAGCATACAAAGATTGTTGACAAAAGTATAGCTCATTCATTAGTAACCAATATCACAACCACTTCTCTAATTTTTTTTAATCTTTTCCCCCTATTTTACCTTTTGTGCCATAACATTTGAATTTGAAGAAACTCAATAAGTTTACACCACAAGAATGGACATACGAGTCTTGATTTTGGCATGTACAATCTTTACATGGATCTTCCTTCACCGATGGAACCAACGATCCAGAAAAGGCCCAAAAACTTGGCCCCTTGTTGGAGCCGCTATCGAGCAACTAATGAATTATGACCGAATGCACGATTGGTTGGTTAACTATCTATCAAAGTCAACCACTGTTGTGGTCCCAATGCCCTTCACCACTTACACTTACATAGCCGATCCGGCTAATGTAGAGCATGTTCTTAAAACCAACTTTGCAAACTACCCAAAGGTCTCATTGCATTTACCTTTTTTTTTTTTTTTTTTTTTTTTTTAGCAATTGTATTGGGATCTTTTCTGTTTATGATATAGGCATAAAATTTTATGTTTTTCTTTTTCGGGTTTTGTAGGGCGAAGTGTATCATTCGTATATGGAGGTTTTGCTTGGAAATGGAATCTTCAATTCTGATGGAGAGAATTGGCGAAAACAAAGAAAAACCGCAAGTTTTGAGTTTGCTTCTAAAAACTTGAGGGATTTTAGCACGGTGGTCTTCCGAGAGTATAGCCTCAAGCTCTCTTCAATTCTAAGCCATGCAGCTTTTCAGAACAAACAACTAGACATTCAGGTAAGCTTTCTACACTTATTTTAAATGATAGGGATATGAACACACAAATAACCAAGGTAAAGTCCATGTTCCCACCTTGGTCTATGTTTTTAGGTGTAACAAAACATTTCAGCTTTTGTCCCATTAACATCAGTTTTTTCTTTTTCTCTGTCATAATCTATTACATGTCAAATACAGACTATCATGTTTTGTACAACAAATAGGGCCTCAACAAGCAAATCTCATTGGTTATGCACTAAAACTCATGTTTTTGTTGTAGGAACTATTGATGAGGATGACTTTGGATTCGATATGTAAGGTGGGATTTGGAGTAGAGATTGGTACATTGGCTCCTAACTTACCCGAAAACAAATTTGCCAAAGCATTTGATGCTGCAAACATTATAGTCACTCTTCGGTTCATTGATCCACTATGGAAAATCAAAAAGTTTCTAAGAGTAGGTTCGGAAGCCATTCTTGACCAAAGCATAAAAACCATTGATGACTTTACATATTCAGTCATCCATAAAAGAAAATCCGAAATAGAAGAAGCTCAAGAGGGTCCTAATAACCATAAGGTAACGCAAGTAGTCACGTATTATTATACTAATAATAAGTAAACTAAATTTGATCTCATTTCATACATTTATCAGATGAAACATGACATATTATCAAGATTTATCGAGTTACGAAAAGACCCAGAAAACAACATCAATGACAAGAGTTTGAGAGACGTTGTATTAAACTTTGTAATTGCGGGACGTGACACCACAGCAACAACTCTTTCGTGGGCCATTTACATGATCATGACTCACAATCATGTTGCAGAAAAACTGTATACAGAACTTAAAGCATTTGAACAAGAATGTGCGAAAGAAGAACAAGTGTGTTTAGATCCTTGTGATGAAACACAAGATCTTGAATCTTTTGACATGAGAACAAAACAATTTGCTGAACTTATGAGCTACGATTCGCTTGGAAAGTTGTACTATTTGCACGCTGTCATCACAGAAACACTTCGGTTGTATCCTGCTGTACCTCAGGTAAGTTGCTTAAATTTAATTTATTTGAAACAAAAGAAAGTACACTTTGATGAAGTTACTAAATGTTTTATAATTTTTTTTTTTTTTGAAAAGGACCCAAAAGGAATCTTGAACGATGATATTTTACCTGATGGAACGAAAGTAAAAGCAGGAGGTATGGTGACATATGTACCTTATTCGATGGGACGAATGGAGTACAATTGGGGCCCAGATGCAAATCAATTTAAACCCGAAAGATGGCTTAAAGATGGGTTTTTCCAAAACGCGTCTCCTTTCAAATTCACTGCATTTCAGGTGAACAAAAAAAAATACAATTTTTTGTTTAATGAAAATAATTTTTTTTTTTATTATCTAAAATGACAGGCTGGCCCAAGAATATGCCTTGGAAAAGACTCGGCCTACCTACAAATGAAAATGGCGCTTGCAATTTTGTGTCGATTTTTCAAGTTCGAATTGGTGAAAGGACATGTGGTGGATTACAGAATGATGACAATTCTGTCAATGGCAAATGGATTAAAGATTACAGTTTCGAAGCGTTCATAAAATACTTTACAATTTCGTTAAAATATATATATGTTGTATGAATTATGATCTTCAATCATATTTGGATTATTACACTAAGATAGTAATTCTCCCTTCGTGTTTCTATAATCTTCTATTTCTTCATGTACCATTGATGTCACACGAACATGAAATCCGGGATATGGTTCGTACCCAAAAAAGTTATGGAGTGCCTGAATTAGGAGAAAAAAAAATCGTATAATCAAATTTTAGCTTAATTTTAGTTTTTGATGAATTATACGTTGAAAATAGAAGTTAATTACCTCAAATAAAACAAAGAATGGGGCCATTATGAAGGCTTGTAAAATGTTGTCTAGAAGGGCTGGTGCTCTTCTCTGTGATTTTTTTTATTTATTTATTAGAAGTTATATGCAATTTATGAAAGAAATCATTATATATTATTTTTTGTTTCATAAACAAATAAAAGAATTTTGTGAAGCAGAAAAAATTATGAAAGGGAACCTGCTCACCTCAAATGCACCATGTCCTACAAATTGAGCAGTCCAAGAAACCAATTGCACAACAAGAACAACCTATATAGTTCATCAATTAGGGCAAAATTCACATGATCTGTAAAATCCCAAATCAAATTCACCGGAAAGATATAAACTTTGATTGATAAATCATCAATATAAGCAAAACCGAAATCAATTTCATGTTAAAAGAGACGATAAAACTTACCTTCCATGCGATTTGAAACCCTAGGAGACTTGCAAGAACACTACTTGAAATCCAACAAAAGAGACAGAGTAAAGCAGCCAACGAACCAGCTTTATAATCAAAGCAGACATAGAACACAGCGTAGATTAAAGTCAACAAAAACCCAAAGTTAAAAATTAGAAGAATATTATGCCCAAATAAAGAAAAATCGATGTGAGGGGGATCGAAAGGAAGTGGTATGAAATTGAAGAGAAGAACAGCAGTGAAAAAGATTGGCCAAACAAATATCATATGGATTGCTATGTTAATTGGGTTGCTGTGATAAGCGGCATAGAAAGCAAAGTTCTTCTCAAGATCAAGAAGCCCCATTTCCTGATTTTGCAAAAGGTCTGATTTGAGGGAAACAGAGAAACGAAATCAGTGGGTGTTTTGAGTTAACAAAGTCTTTTTTTTTTTTTTTTTCAATAACACGGGCTTCAACGCTGGCCTTGAGTAGAGGGAAGACCGTTTTGCCTACAGGTTGGGTGACAGTGTGGGTTGTGTTTACCTAAAAGAATCAAAACTGCAGTCACCGAAAGTAATAAATAGGCTTGGTTTAGTTCTATGATGATTTTAGGTGCGTTAATGTTTAGAATTTATAAAGTTTTTTTTTATTTTTATATTTTAAATTTGGTAAATTTTTGAAAACGTCCTAATATTTTATTTTGATTTATCAAAAAGTCTAAAATTAAAATTTGTTTACAATAAATTCATAATTACAAGTAAAAATGATGATTTAACAAATTTTTTTCGATTTACCTATTTCAATACTTATTCGATTTCATTAAAGTTCAATTATTTTACTATAATTTCATTAAAGTCCCATTAGTTATCGGTAGTCTTTTGCAACTAGTGGTTCACTAAAAGACAAAAAAAATCAATTAAAATAATATAAAAAATAAAGATGGTGACCAACTTTGATATGAAAGGCCAAAATTGTCCTTAATTGCTTCTTTCAGTTGGCCATATATTAATTATGATGAAAGAGAAATTATTATTTTAATTAAAGGTTAAGTTGGGTATTGTCATGAATATGGGTAGTTTTATTATACCATAACTTGAGACTTATTCGTAAATTATGGTAAAATAATTGGATTTTAGTAAAACCGGGTAAGTATTGAAACCGATAAACTGAAAAAAAAAATGTCATATCGTCATTTTCGCCGGTAATTGAGATTTTTTCGTAACCAAATTTTAGTTTAGGATTTTTTTTCGTAAGTTATGATAAAATATTGAGACTTTTCCGGAGACTTCCCTTCATATTTACAAATTTATTATTAAAAAAAAAAAAAAACTTAACTATGAAATCAAATTTACATAAAGACAACATTATGTGTATAGATATTTTATGTTTTTACTCTAAGTATGTTATCAAAATCGAAAGTTTGTTAATTTTTATTGGTTTTGTCTCTGAAAACTTGTTATTACAGTTAACAATGAAAAAAAATAGACTTTTTTTTGGCAAACTTTGGACATTAATGAAAAAAAAATGATACACAGAGAAATTCGAAAAAATTCGACAAACTACTTTCAAGTCAAAAGCATAACTTATATGATCATAAAAGTAATAATACTTTTTCAAAAAAAAAAAAAAAAAGTTATCATATTTGCAAAGATGGATTCGTAAGTTTATAAATGTGAGTTCAATAGTCTCTATAGAAATAAATATATTTATGTGTGTGTTGTTTGATCCATTTCGTGAATTGTATTTGAAATCTTTCAAAACATCATCGATTACGTACCATTTCTTTTTTCAAGCTAAGTGATAACTGATATTGAGATGTTCTTCCTAACCCAAGTGGTTAGAGTTTTAAATCCCGTCCAAAAATAAAACAGGCGGAATCTGAAAGCTTGGACTTGAAGATATTCAATGAAAATTTGGATAAAAAGCTAAGATTATTGAAGGAATGAGAAAGAAAAAGGAAAATAAGCTTTGAAGAAGAAACAATGATTGAAAAAAAAGTGCACAACATATGGTCGGGCAAAAGCACAAAACAATCTATTATGAATTGCATGACCATGAAAAATTGCACTAAGTTTGCGTGTTCATGCAAACAGTTTTTCATCACCATATTTTTAGTTTTTTTCAAATGAAATTTAGTTCTTAAACCTTAGTTTTACAGGATGAACGCTCTATAAGCCTAAGAACTTCATTTTATAATCATTGTAAGTCAATTTGATGGCATTTTTTTAAAAATTTATTGTAACAGTAGTTTTTTTCTTCGAGAACAACCGAACAATTGTAATAGTGATTTAGCCTTCATGTGTGGACATGTCACATCGATTCTAACAATAGGGTTTTTGTGTGAAACTTTGGTTTTGATCCATTATATGAAACGATCATTTTAGATTACTTTTGAATGTTTTGTCTATATGAAATCTTGTGTTTAATTTCATATTTAACTCAGATGTATATTAGATTCTAAATAAATCTGATCAAGTTATTAGTTTTTAATAAAGTTCATTTAGATGTAGAACCCCGTTATAATTCTAAGTTTTAGTTTGGAACAAATAATGGTATTGTTTTGTTTATGATTTTGATACCATTGTAGATTCATATAGTATTGTTAGCTACATGAATCATTGATTATAATTGGCAAATCTCATACCCTTTAATAGATGAAAAAGGCAAAAAGCAAGTATTTGTGAACAACCGATTAAGGGCTAAACACGTCACATTCACAAGTTGATGCATCACACATTTATACTTTTATTTGTCTATATTATCCTTTGTAGTTTTTAAAATAAGTATAATAAATGTTATCAGCAGGAGCATAAAATCACATTTAAATCGGGTGTTTTCAATCGTTTTTTTTTTAATAAATTATTAGATAAGACCTTTACAACATCTTTTAAATGAATCCAACTTACAAGCAAGTTACATTAATAATTGTAATCACCAGCTATCACAAACTTTAGTTTCATTTTAGTTTCTATATATGCATTTTGTGAAATAATCAATCAAATATATTCTTCTAATTTTCCTAATTAACTGTTTTTGTCTTTCTTTACCAAGCACAACTGTGATTAGTCTTTAACTATTTTACAAAACATATAAAAAAGGGAAAAGAGACTTACCATAAAAACCACTGCAGAGATGATATCCCCCAACTCTCTGCAATATCAATCTTGAATACTGCTCATCATAGTTCTAGCATGTGAGTACATGATAGATATGTAGCCTAGGACAACTTGCCGACGTTATGCTTTCTTTCATATCCTATGTACGTATATATGAAAATACCGAAACAGGCTAAATAGTTTATGCAATTAACCAACCGGAGCTTATGAATCTTTAATAAAGTTTACGATTTTTTTGGGGGGGTTTTAAGAAATAGAAAAAGAACTCAAAGATGGATAAACAAAGACCTAAGAATATTTCCGGCAAGTCATCCTTGGCTGCACTACGCATAACGTGTCTCCACATGCAAGAACTTGGATGAATTTATCTCCCATGAGACCCAAAGCAAGAAAAAGATCAAATGTGGGAACTTTTTTCGGATTGTGGAAGAGGATGAAGAAGATAGTGATGAAGATGGAGATTAAGAATCAATGCTTAATCTTTTTTCCAATTATGGAAATAGGATGCGTTGGAAAGAAGAGTCAATTGTGGGACTTGATTTCTATATATGGAAATGGTCTTTTCATTTGGACATTTTTAGGTGTATGAAAAAATGCCTTGGATAGAACATAGAAGAGGGTATGATGTGATGGTGATCGAGATGGTGATGGTGATATGGAATATATGCATGGAGGCATGGCATAGCATGTTATGTGTCCCATGTTTATCTTGCAAGTTGAAGGTCTCATTATGGTCGCCCTCATCTACTTGATGGGTTGCTTCAACCTTTTTTTAAATCTTATCTCTTGTTTTTTTTTTTTTTTTTTTTCTAAATGGATAACATGACTTGTGAGTGTTTGTTTGTTTTTTTAAGAACAAAATTGGTATATTTTTATGGAATATTTTTGAAAAAGGGGTTGATTTTGGAATCCTTGCAAAAACTGGTTGGTTTTAAATTTATTTGTAAAAATAGATTGTTTTTCATGGGATCCACGGGAAAGTTCCTATGTTTCATTTATATATATTTTTTAAATAAGTTTTAAAAACCGAGAACTATATTCAATTTGATCTTTTTAACTCATCCAACTTTCAAAATTTATATTTTTGACCTAAGCTTTAATTTTTATAAAAAAAAATTGATCTAAATTTTACACTTTTAACACAAATTTCAAAATTTTTTACAAATTCATTCTAAATTTTGTTTTTATACATTTTCTTTCAAAATTTTGTTTCTGTTTTTGTTTTTTTTTTTTTTGTATAAAATCATATTTATACAAAAAAAACTTATTTTCAATTTAGAAACCTTCATTTTTCTATATAAAAACTTTTTTTAAATAAAATTTGTGTATGTAAAATACCTATATAAAAACCTTTTTTTTTTTAAATTATACAAAATACATATTTATAAAAACATGTTTTTTATTATAAATAGTTATTTATAAAAACATAGTTATGTGAAAATTAATGAAATACACCTATATAAAATACGTTATTATACTCATATATATCTTAAATGTTGTTATAAAAGATATATTTGTTACGTACATAAAAAAAAATTGTGCGCATATAAATACATGAATATATACAAATCCATTTTTATAAAAAGGATGTATACAAACATGTATTTTATAAAAAAAAAATGTATAAAAACTCCAATTTTATAAATAATCTATCTGTATACAAACACAGTTATATAAAAAAAATGTATGGTAACTCGTATTTTATAAAAATATATACAAACATGTTATTATAATATATATATATATATATATATATATATATATATATATATATATATATATATATAAATATATATATATATATATATATATATACACACACACACACACAAAGTTAGGGATAAGATCTTTGAGCTATAATAAGATCCTCAAGCCTAAGGATCCTCGAACCTCAAGATCCCAAATATACTTCAATCCTGATCATTATTATTCTAATATTTATAACGGTTATATATTCCATTGTCTTTCTCACATGTACAGTAATAACCAGTCAAAGTCTCCACGGATAGTCACAGCCATGCAAAAGACCTGGAGGACCAAGTCATACAACGTCTATAAGCTGATCTTGGAGGATCCTTGAATTTTTTGAGTTCTTTTTATTAGCTTTTGACTATATAAATCACCTGTATTCATCACACTGCACACGCTACTTGGCAGAAATATAGCACTTGTATTCGTATTCTTTAAATTTTTCTCGATAATCAACCATTTCAATCAATAAAATCATTAAGGCATGTGATTATTATCACTTCCCAAGGTTTTATGTCGGAGATCCTAGCAAGGATCAAGGGCTTTCCTTGTAAACAACTTGTGTTGATTTGATTTACATTACATACTTGCTTTATTCTAAACATCACAACCTCTCATACACTTTGGGCGATCTTAAATTATTCATTTTTTAACAAAAAGAATTTGGCACCTACCGTAGGGTCGTGGTGTTCAAAATCCTTTAGAAAATCATGTCTACACAATCAACCCTCTCCTCTTCCTCCGTTCTTCCCATTTCCTCCAAAAAAAACTTCCACCTCCTCCAACTGGAGCTCCCAAGAAAGCATCAGAAGCACCGAAGAAGAATACCTCTTCGGCCGTTACCTCAGGACCTCAAGACCCTCCTATGTTGATTTCCAACAACGAGATCTTCACCATGATGAAAAGACTAGAACGACAGGTCGCCCAGCCATAGGAGGACAATAGGATAATTCTCAAGGAAGTGAAAACAATGAGGACAGAAATCCATAAGCCTCAAGAAGCACCACCCTCGATCTTGTAGCCTAAGATCCTGAACTTTAACAACACAGGATCCTCAGCGATTCATCGCGAGATAGGATCATTGATATCGGCCTCTGCTCCCACCTGGGGCATGACTCCAAGAGAACAAACTCATACTACCTAGGATCCCAACAAAACCTTTGTTATTCCCAATAACAAGGATCCTGGTAACCTTGTCAATAACAATATATTTCCAACTAACTCTATGGATCTTGATGCAGGTTTATGTCGAGCTACAATAATTGAGACAAAGTACCCGGAGTAGTTCAACCTGTGTCGGAAGTATCCCCCACAAGCCACAGGATCTCCAGATTCATCCCAGTGATAACTGATACCGAAGTTACAAAGCGCTTCCAGACCCCCAACATGAAGCCTACGATTGAACTACGGATCCTAAGAAGCATGTGGTACAATATAGGGAGAGGGTGGAGATCATTCCTATCTCCACACACTTGAAAGAAGCCTGCATGTGAAAGGGTTTTGGTTCCACCATTATAGGATCAACTCTAAAATGGCTCCTTAACGTTCCTCCTTATTCAATTACATCATTTTCTCATTTGATTAACTTATTTAACAATCAACTTTCTTGTAGAAGAACATTAAGAAAGATCACTAGTGACCTGTATCAAGGGGTTCAGGATACTAAGGAATCCCTTAGGAATTTTGTGAATAGGTTTGGCAGGAAGCTCTGAGTATCCCCAGCATCGACACAATAACTACAGTTGAAGCCTTTAAAACGGGCTTAAAGAAGGATTCTCCCTTCTATGAAGATCTCGTGATGACTCCAGGCAAGAGGATGGACAAAGTCAGGAGCAGAGCATTGAGGTTCATCAGGCTTAAAGAAGACAAGGAGATCCAAAAGAGGAGCAACCTACCGAACTTCTATAATCACCGCAATAGGAAAGGCCGATTACTCGACCCAAAGATCCTATACATAAAAACCTTATTCCAAACCTGATCATCACAAGGTCAATGCCCTTGAAGATGAGGGGGGGGGGGGAAGAAGATTTCCTTAAGATTACTGACTATTGTTTTTTTATGGATGTTTCAGGTGTAATATTTGTTATGCAGGATCTCAGGGACAAAAGGAGATTGCCAAAAAAGGAGAAAAATCCAAAACGTGGAAAGACAAGTTCAAATTGTGTGCCTACCATGAAGACTTTGGTCACGTCATAGAAGATTGCATAGCTCTCATGAAGGAGATCAACTATCTACTAGGCAAAGGATACCTAAAGAAAATCCTAGGAAGAAGAAATGAAAGATCTAAAGAAAAAGACCAGAATCCCCCCTCCTGATGCCAAGGTAATCAATGTGATCTTTAGAGGATCTGACATTTGTGGTACCTCTTACTCTGCAGCAAAGAGGCATGCTAAGGTATCCAAGAAGGAGAAGTAAAAAAGACCACAAAAGAACATAACAAACACAAACGAAAAGGAGATCACCTTCGATAAAGTAGATAGACAAGTCGTCCAAGATCCTCGCCATGACAGACTAGTGATCACTCTCTACATCGCCAACCACTTTGTTAGAAGGATCCTCGTAGATGGAGGATCCTTGCTTAACACCATACTCCTGGAGACATTGAAAAGAATGAACATCTTGGAGTTTGAAATAGTTACAAGATCCTCAGTGCTAATCAGATTCAACGGTGAAACCAAGCACACCATCAGGGAAATAAAGCTACCAATATACATAGAGGGGGTAAATTCTATACAATGTTTTTGTGTCATTGATACATTATCCTCTTATAATGTAATACTAGGTAGACCATGGATCTACGAAATTAAGGTCGTTCCATCAATGTGTAAAGATGCCCACCCCATGGGGGGGAGCAGTGAAGATCATAAGAGATCAACAAGAATCCAAGGAATGCTACGAAACTTCGATGAAATCCTCAATGATACCACGACAAGCATATCAATTAAGGAAGGGGGCACGAGACGTGCTAGAAACAAGAGAGCATGATACAAAAGAAGTCTCCCAAAACCTTGAGGATCCTGAAGCCAAAGTTCTCATAGGATCCTTAGTGCCTGAACAAATAAAATATGATCTAATAAAACTCCTCAAGGCTAGAAACTAGACGTTTTCATGGAAGTATGAGGACATGACATGTATCCATAAAAACATAATAACCCATAAATTTAACATAGATCCATCTTTCAGGCCGATACATCAAAAGAGAAGGAAGTTTGCACTAGAAAGAAACCAATTCATACAAGAAGAAGTGGAGAAACTCCTCAAAATTAGTATGATCAAGGAGGTGAAATTCCCAAGATGGTTAGCTAATGTCGTAGTGGTACAAAAGAAAAATGGAAAATGGAGAGAGTGTCTAGATTACACGGATCATAACAAGGCTTGTCCTAAGGATCCTTTCCCTCTACCACACATCGACTCAATGATAGACATAACAGAGGGTCATGAATTGCTAACATTCATGGATGCATCAATAAGATTCCAGTAGATCCAAATAGAACCCTCAAACCAAGAAGACATGACATTTATAACTCCAACATGTATCTATTGTTACACTGCCATGCCATTTGGTCTTAAAAATGCAGGTGC